AAACCCCAGATTTCTAATGAAAATATAATAGTCAAAAAAAAAAAAAATATTAGTCAATGTTGGTTGTTTTAGAAATGTTTACATTTCTTAGCAATTAAGTCAGTTATTTCTTTAATGTTTGTCTTGACTAATTACAGATTGAAAAATAAATGAAATAGCTTTAAGGACATAAAAAAAAATTAGGGCATGGGAAATGAGGACTGATTATATTGTTTACTTCATAGCAATATAATTTTAAGTAAAATGATGCACTGAAATAAGTAACCAAGTAATCATTTTAGGTTCTCTGAATATCAATGCCTTTTTTTATACCAATACTTTGGGTATTAAATTTAGCGTTTCAAACGATTTTTTTCCTATCAAAAACTGATTTATATCTCATATATATGTATGTATGTATGTATGTATTTGGTTAACCCTACCTTTGAATTTGAAAAATCATGCATTCAAAATTAATACGAAAAATATGCTTAGAAACATTTCAGTTTTAGAGAACAAAGTGAGTTTGATCATTTGACGCCCCATACTTGTCTGTTTTTGCCAAAACTAATTTACATTTAGGAAAGAATTTATTTCAACAATATTGTTACCTAATGAACGCATAAACTAGAAAAAATATTTGTTTGTTTTGTTTTGTTTTACTTTTACGGCATATCAACCTCAATTGGTTATTTAATAATCCGACAAGATTTTTGCTAGTAATACATAATTTTTCTTCAAAAATTTATAGCTGATTATGTTATTTTTTACAAAGTATTGCTGATATTTAAAAGTAAAACCTATTTTTACATTCATATTGTTTTGTTATTGTAAATTACATTTATTGTAGATTACATAATCTGATAAAGATGAACAACTAACTTTTACTTTTTGAAATGTGAAATAAAAATAAAATTATTCACTTTGCTGACGTGATAAAAATATTTATAGGCGATATCCGACAACCTGAGGGGGGGGGGGTAAAATGTCTACACTTTCCCAAATTCTAAAATTATTGTCTGAAGGGTTTGGGGTTAGGATCCGCAAAAACGTTACTCATTGAAAAAAATTATAAAACAAAACAAACAAAAATAAAACAAGGAAAAGTAACATAAAAAAAAGAAAAAATTAGGGTTCCGGTTGCATGACTGAAACAGTGAAAAAGCTGAAAAGTGAAAATATATAAAATTTCCAGAAAGATGTAATGCAGTTAAAAAGTAAAACTGTTAAAACCTTTTTAGCCAAAAGGTTTTTTAGACATTTCAATTTTTGCATGCTCTTTCTATTTTAATACTTGTTCACACACTCGTTTAAAAAAAAAAAAAGGAAAAGTTTCGGGGGAAATTATTTTTGTAGATATCCTCCCTTAGGCCGCGGCATTTGTCAGAATCGGTAAATAAATATTGATTCGTTATAGATTTTTAGAAGGGGATCCAGTTGAGTTAAGTTAGTATCAATTGGACGCTAAGTTTCAAATTGATCCTTGACTTAGTTTTTGGGTGTAGGTAAATCAGTTGTTATTTAATTTACGAATGTCAAGTTTGAAACTGCGGTGAAATATCTACATATATTTTTAACGAACATTCTTAGTTTTTTACATTTTATTTTTTAAACTTTTTGTATGTTTTTTTTTTCGGAAGAACATACATTTATGATTTAAAGTTCATAATTATTTATTCTTAAATGAAGAATAAACGGATATGTAAGTCAAAAAAATCTCTGTTCTTTAATTTAATTAGAAATGTACACATCCGTTTGTTCATTTTAAAAGAATGTTACGGAAAACAGCTGAGATCAATAACTCTGTCTGTAAAAGTCAGGGATCGATTTGATATTAGACTGGAACTCCTAAATCGATAACAAATCAATATTTTCGATTCTGACAAAAATCGCGGTCTAAGAAATGCCGAATGAATCCTATTCTACAAAAATTATTTCCTAAAAACTTTAATTTTTTTACGAATTACTATTAAATTAATTAAAATAGTGCGCACATAGTTATTCGCAATAAACTTTGTGGTTACAAGCAAAATAACTTTTAAAAAACGTTTCAAATTAACTTAAGTCACCAAATTATTAGCAGTAAGAAGAATAATTGCCGAGAGGAGTCAGTAGACCGTCAAGAAGGAAGTCTTATTTGAAGTTTGTGATTACTGATTAAATGTTTTATTTATATTCTTTTTTTTAGCAACTAGTTAGTTTGCTTATTAATTTTTTTTTTTTTTTAGTCTCACCAGATGAATAACCCAAAAAACCTGTAATTTTTTTTTTAAAAACATTTATTTCCACCAACCCCATAGCCGATAAAATGTTAATTAGCATGTTAATAAAAATATCAAACAATCTCCAATTTTAATAAACTACATTACTACAAAACTCAATGACATTACAATAATACATCATCGGCAATTATTCCTCCAAGGAATGGGAAGCCGCGGATTGAATAATTTGGGAAGTAACACTCACATAAAGCAGGACGGGCCGCCTCAGACTGCAAGTTTTTCTTTTTTTTTGGTAAATTTAGTTAGTAATGAAGTAACACGCAAAAATTAGTTGTACCATTTTTTTTTTTTTTTTTTAAACCTAAATTCACTTTAGGTTTTGTGAAGTAACACACTCATTAACTTGAGGGTTATATGAATCAGTTAAGCATTTTTTTGTTTTCAAAGTGCCTAAATAACATTTTGAACTGATTGTTATTTATTTAAAAAAAAATGTACAGCCGATGGAAACCGGTTCGCTCGTTAAATTTTTTTTTTTAATAATTGAAAATCATGGAATTTCCTAAGCATGACAAGATTTAAGAACATCATTTTAGGGTCCTAAATTATGAATATTTTTTTAAGAAACATGGTAAGTAACAATGACTTAAAAAAATTAAGTGCCATTGTTACTTTTTTTATTTACAAATGTTAGATTTGAAACTGGGCCCACATCATTGATAACTGTGTACAACTAGTGTTGCCATTTTTTCAAATTAGGGATTTCTCATTTTTAAAAGGTTTTTGTGAAATAGATTAATTTTCCTTTTGGGCATTTTAGCTTTATTAGAGAGATATTGCATAAACAAAGGGAGATAATAAATATTTATCCCGAACTGTACCAACACAACCGAGATTATCTCGGTGGTGTTGACTGCACCTTCATCCAAACTTTTATAACTTTTTAAATAAAAGATTTTTCCTCATTTCAAGGTTTCTTCATAAATGTTCAATTCTTAATAATAAGAATTGAAGGAGAAAAATACATAGTAGTAAGATTCATTTCTAACTCCCTAGTTTGTGTAAGTGTCTCTCTGGAGCGAAAAAGGAAAACAATATACAGTACACAATAAAAAACAAAACAAGATCTTATTTTGCAAAAAGTTAAAACTTATTTAAAAGTTCAAAAATTAGATAAAAAGACAACAGTTCAACGTGCTTAAAGGGTATTCTAATGAAATCAGTACTCCCCATTTTTTATTAACGAGCGGACCAGATCCGCCCTACGAGTGTCACTTGCGTTTTTTTTTGTTTTTTTAATGTTTTCCACGATCTTATTTTCTTATCGCGGTTTTGTTTTTACATGTTATCTAAATAAAAATAAATGGCCTAATTAATTGTAATTTTTTTTTTTTTGTAGATGTCCAATTTTGACTACTAAAGTTTTACGCCACGGGTTGGATATTCATCTTCGTTTCAATAAGTGTTTGAACATCAGTAAAGAACTTGTTACTGTAGGATGAACTTTGACTAGAGAAGTTTACACACAGTTCAATGCTTTGCTTTAGAAATCCGTCTTTAGGCTTTTTCTTGTCTTTCGATCAATTACGCACTTAAATAAAAAAGGTTCGATTTTGCCGTATTCATCACCTTCACTTAAAATAACATTGTTTCGCGAAAGGAAAAACTTTATTCCATGTTCCAAAGCTTTTTCCAAATCGATATAGATCAATACTTTACTGCTACTCCTCATTCCACTGACAACGCCTTTCTCACCAGGTTCACCACTTGCAAAATGGATATGGTTTCGTCCCATAGTTTTTAAACCATTTCTTTTAATTTTGTCCCAAGCATTGTACGTGGTACCGTGAACAACATAAGGGTACGCCTCGGCATCTGTAATTGGTTGTAATTTTAGTTTTTCACATTTTATAGTATGTCCCTGGTTAGCTCCAATCATAAGATTGCCAAATTTGTCACGTTTCAGATGAAATCTTTGTTTCTCATTAGTTTCAACAATTCGGATAATATCCTCCTTGAAAACATTTCTATATCCAAAACAAGTTAAAATCTCATTCACATGGACAAATCCATATTTGTCCATATGTAGGTTCATTTTAAAAGCCCCATGACGCAGTATATAAGACAGCCTTTTTGATATTTGGATATCACGTTCTTTTTGGAACTCAAACATATATCTTGAAAATGAACGCGGATGCCTCCTCCAATTGTCAGGTCTATTAGTTGGATAGTTCCAGTTTCTATCCGTGTCTCTGAAGGAATTGGGGGCTACAGATTGCCTATAATAATGCCTAGTATTTGGATAATGATTTTGACAATGCGACATTTTTGTAATCGAAAAAAGAGGGGTGTTAATCGTGAATCTGAAAGCTGGTTTTAAAAGTAGAGAACAGCCCTTTAGCATTACTTTGATTTTTCCAAGAAATTGGATGTTTTTTTTTACTTTCACTTTTTAGTTTAGTACTTGAACTGCGTGACTATTATTTGTAAATTTAAATAATTAAAAAAAACAAAACAAAAAAAACTAGTGGAATATTTCGCGTTTTTTAAATCCATTATGTGATAATCGTTTTGGTAATAGAACAAATATTAAATTTTGAAAATAATTTCGTAAATGACTAATTTGTGAAGTTCTAGTTCTAAACTAGAGAAAAGAAATAAGAGTTACCTCCCCTTGCATAACTCTTTAACGTTATTTAGTGTCACATGGCCGAGAGAGAGAGAGAGCAACTGAGCTTCTCTCCGTGTTAAAATATTTTCATACATTTTGATTTAAATTCAAAAAAAAATAAAGAAAAAATGCCCGGTTCTTATGAAGCTGTACCAATTTTGGAGAAGTTTCCTCTACAAATCCAGATTGGGTCCATAGCCTGCTATGGTAAGAATTTTTTCTTTACGGGGTTAAAAAATGGATAATAATATTTTTCAAAAAAAGTGTTGTACGGAACTAGGTTTGTTATTTATTTCTTTTTTTATGGCTATGTTACTTTAACATTTATTTACGCTACGTTCAAAGTCGAACTCGTCTAATATGCTATTTATTTAGCATAGAAACAAAATAGAAGCGAGAGCTTTCCTATTGCTTTTTACGCATTCACTTTTTTTAAACTGTCAAGTTTTCTATCCTATTTTGTTTCCAGACGAAAGCACGGTGGGTCCACTTTTCACGATGTCAATAGCTTCATAGTGATGTTTAAAATGACGTATTTATTTACTCAAACTTTGTTTCGTAAAAATATTCTGGTTCATGAAGTCCCATTTCTTCGTAAATTGAGTGATTTTATTTTTAAGTTTTGAAGAAATCTGAATGTAAATTAAAGATGACAGATTGTCCATTTCGTCAATAGTCGATCCCACAGGTGACGATAATTTGTCTTACTCTTCTTTTTTTTAAAAACGATGTCTTGTCATTTTTTTTTTTTTTTCGAAGTAATTAACGAAGAATTTATTTTAAAATTCTGAATGAATAAAAAAGGAAATATCGTGAAATTACTTTGTATACGATCTTTAATGCAACTTAGTGGTCATTCGTTTATTTCCCTGGGCATCAGTTGGAAAGATGTCTAATTTTCTCTCAGTACTACACCTAGAAAAAAGCTTAATAATGTTTATTTGGCTTATCTAGTAGTTGTAGATAACTACTATTTCACATTATTAATATTTTTTATAGAGATTTAAAATGTTGCATTTAAAGTTAAAATTTAACTGTTAAATCCATTTTTAATTTGAAATTCAGAAAGTGTTTAAATAATAATAAAAAAAAAAATGGGTGTGTTGTATCCTGAGAAGGAAGCAAATAAAATTTTTCTAAATAAATCTTTTCCTTTTTTTGTTTATTTTTTTTACTTTTTACCGTTTGGAAATATTTACTTTGTATCTTTTTTATTTTTAATTAATAAAAAATTTAAAAAAAAAACAACAACAAACAAACTTTATTAAAACCTAACGATTTATTACATTTTTTTTAATGTAAACTAAACAATAAATGGTTAGTACTTTTTGTTTACTAACTTGGGTTCTTGTGTAGCTGTTATTAACATTTTTTATATATCATCATAGTAGTTACTAGTGCGACTTCAATCCTCATCAGGTGGACCATACTTGTCCTGTACAAAAACTTCGTCAATAAATGATTGTTTAAAAATTTGGTCTCGTGATAAATTTAGAATTTAATATTTATTTATTTATTTTTTTTAGAAATATAAAAATATTTAAATTCCAGATTTTTGTCCCCAATCCGACATTTAAACGTTGTTCTGATAAAAAATATGGTGATTATTTAATTAAAACTAAGTCACATGTGATTCTTACGAAAACTTTTAAAGAATTGAAGAACGATGTATTGCAAAATCTTATTGATCAGAATGAAATTTGTTCGACGACTGCACCAACAACTTGAATTTCTTTCTTAAAATAAGATTTGTTTACATCGGTGGAGAAAAAAAAAAGGCGAAGGCACTTCCATATATTAAGAAGACTAAGAGGAATTTTTAAGTTGGATGTTATTTATATAATTATGAAAAAAAAATCCACAATTTCGATTGGAGAAAGAATTGAAAAAAAAACCCCCAAAAAACAAACTTTGGATCGCAAATGTGGACACGATTTTGCCAAGTTACGTAATCTTGGAAGCAGTGGAAGATAAGCTTTACAGTCACGGAGAAAAAAAAAAGATGGATAATTTAATTACTTTGTAGTGTTTCAGTTTGTGGAATCAAAAACTCAAAATTTTATTTTATTTTTGCATCAAATCTATTTCCTGTTTTGCATCACACCCCAACTTCAAAAGGGTACCCTGCGTATTAAAATTTGCATTATGACATTTTTAAACTGAAGGTCTGTTCACTTATTGTTTACAATCGACATAAAAATGAAAGTGTTTTTTTTCTCTCTCTCTCTCTCGGTTTGATGTAATAAAAATGAAATTGGGGAATTTTGAATATTTGGTTCCAGAAACTATGCAAATATATTATATTTTTTTTTTATTCAAAGATTATGGAAGTACGCAATATTGCCACAGAGAAATAAAGATGTAATAATTATTCAGTTGTAAGATATTAAAAAAAAAAAAACACAAAAAAAACACCTGCCATTTATTGAACTTAACCTTTTTTACATTGATACCCAGTTAAAATTAAATTTCCTATATCTATCAGTAAATTAGTCGGCAAGAAGAACTTGCTAATCATGCAATTGTAAATTCACAAGTTAAAGTAAAACTGAAAATGGAAGCTTTGAAGATTGTGTTCAATCTTTCAAATGAATAGTGTTTTTTTCCCTGTCTTCATACTGAGCATTGGAAATTGTGGTTTTACCTGAGTAGGAACTGTGATCAATTTTCTTTGTTTGCCAATGGATTTCACTAAAAATGTCTGCTAGATGGAATGGCAATCGGTGATATAAGAGTAACACTAAGAGTAAAAAGTACTCCTTTTGTTCTTAGTAGTGACAACATGGGAATTGTCTCTGCTGAGGGAGATCTCTTTTTCCAGTTATGCCAGATCAGATCAGCTCCTATAATTCTGCAAGCTCGTACATTTACTAAGTACTAATTAACTAATAAGTAAATTTCACCAAACCACGTGGCACACTCACATATGCATTCTAACACACCCTACTTCTAGTCCTACAAATGTTTTTGTTTATTTGTGCTATACAGTTATATGCCATGCAGGATACTCGCTTAGGTGATCATGTATCTTTCGATACATGACTGACGGGGCAGATTTTTTCCTGCAGTAGGTTATCATTTCTTTCTGCAGTAGACCAGTTGCCATCCAAGGCTATAGAACCTGGACTGCCCTGATATTTACCCATAGCTGGGGGAAGAAGAGAATTCCTACTATTCCCAAGGGTATTAGCATGTAAGTGAATGCAATGGATTCCACTGGAATTCAAACTTGGTTCTCCGATTCCACAATCCAAGCTGCTGTCCATTATTCCACCATGCTTCTTATCTGTATACATGTAAATATAATGTTCTCTTTCTCTTCTTTAGTTGTTCTGTGGATAACTATGCTCTTGAAATAATTTGATTGAGCTCTTGGAGAGGAAGGGGTGATTTTATAAACAGCGGCTGCTGCTAATGCAATGCTCTTCTACTCTAATCAAGCTCTCCTAGCTATTGACATCTCTTGCATAGTAAGAGCGTTAAAATTTCCCTTTCTCTCTGCCGTGCAACATTAGCTTGGGGGTAGAATCTGTGATCGATGCCAAATCGGTCAGGTTTTGATCCTGGCTAGAAGCAATCAGGTGTCTAGCCACACTGATGAGCTGTGGATGAGATATATCCTGTGCTGAATCTTTTTATTTTTAAAATTTTCAACTTTTATCTTTACAATTTGTAATGCTCTTCTTCTACAGAACATTATTGTTTGGCAACAAATGAGAAATTCAGTTATAAGGCAAACAAATCAAATTATGAGGTCATAAATTGTTCTCAATTTTATTTTATTTTATTTTATTTTTTTTATTTTTTAAATTTTAAGTATTTTAGAACTGAAATGATGATTTGATATTGTAGTAACCTATAACTAAATTTTCAAGGCTATGTAAGATTGATAAACGGTTGACCCTAGACTTAAAGAGGTTAAGATTGTAGCAATTTGGAAAGCACTCTCTCAAGAGTCTGTTCTGATAAATAGTGAAACCTTGTGTATGTGGCATAGCTGTAAAAGTCTGAACTAGTGGAATTAAGGAATGTAACTCGTCTGAACATCTGCCGTAAAAATAGCAATAGGTTTGCAATATTTTGTTTCTTGGGCAGGAAGCTGCATAGTTGAAAACAATTCATCACCCACAAGGCTGCATAGACACTTTAAAATTTGTTGATTAAGTCAAGTTCAGTTTCAGACTATAATTGTGGAGTTTCTTGTATGTCACAAATGAAACTTATAAACAATGTATTATAGGAAAATCTATGTGGAAAATTTATTTTGTAACATGTTTTGTCCTTTAGGACTTTATCAGACAAATGTTTACATTAATGTGACTAGACATACACACAAAGGAGGAGGGGGATACTGAAATTTTAAATTTAAGTTTTTTTTTTTTTGTTTTTATGTGTTTGGGTATATGGTCTAGCCGATCTTCATTGTTGTTTGTTTTTATCACTTTTGATTAAAGCACTTTCTATACACTTTCATCTTAAGAGCGCTCAGAATTTGTAGCCCTCAATATTTATATGAAGAGGAGAAATATATTGAAAATATCTTTAAGCTCCTCCAATACCCTAATTATTTTGTATTCAGCATGAAACAAAAGGCTCGTAAAACAATAGATTAGCTAACTCGTTTGAATAGTGGAAAACATATCCTGTATTCGATGGCTTGGACTGAAAAAGATATGATCATTCATTTCAGGACATACTTGTAGTCTCCAATAGTAAAGTATTGGCTTAAGGAAGGGTTTTGTTTTTTACAGTGTCATTTTGTTTGTGAGGAGTGCCTTCTATGGACTAAATATTGGAACTTCTCATGGCTTTCAGCTAAATTGTTTAATAGTTGCAAACAATTACCAAGATGATTATTTTTTTTTTTAATCAATTGGACTTCATGGCATTCTGATTTGGAAAGAGAATGACGTGTAATATGATGTTGTATTTTTCACTTTTTGGCTACGGCACTAACTTGTAAACATTACCTCTTTTCAAGGCACTGGTATTTGTGAAGTTTAACATAGTACATTTAGAGGGGTTCATTTTCCGTGAAAACGGAATGGCCTACTTGAAACAGAAATCACAATTTTGAAAATTTCAACTTTTTGTTTTATCTTTTCATTTTCCTATCACATGGTGACTGAGGTGGGCGACATTTTGTCATTTCAGAAAGCCAAATTTTATGAATTAGACTTTTGTGACCAAATGATAATGTAGTTTTTTGTCTTTGTGGTATTACTTTTCTGTCACTTTCACTTATAGTAATTCTTATTTATGATTGTAGCATTCTTTGCAAGGGTTAACCTGGAAACTTATCAAGTTAGGTTAAAAGCTGAAGTAGGAGGTATGAAACCCTATCAAGTTGGAGCAACTAATCCAATGGGTGGATATTCCAGCTAATAAAATTTTTAATTTTCCTTTTATTTTCTTGTTTTAATAATGTTTATATATTGTTACACTTCTTCACTAAGTATTATAATGAAGCAAAAACAGAAAACTATACTGAAAATGGGCATTGGGGGAACAGAATTCTATACTGAAAACTGGAGGGAGCCCCCCCAAAAAAACCCAAGAATTCTCTAAAACCTGAAATTGAATTAAGGAAAATTTGAAATGGAAAATTGATCCCTTACGCATCCAGTAAAGAGCCAAATCTGCTACAGTCGTGATGGTTAAACGAGAAGGTGCTGGCATCAGAGAAAATTAATTGCAATACTTTATTGCAGTTTCTTTCTTTCCTTGATATGACAACAATTGGTTAACGGTGCTCATTCCTGCAAATCATGAAATTGACCTAAATTTGTATATAGTGAAAGGAGGATTTGTTGGATTAATATATATTTGGCTTATCAACCTATTGTGGGTTATTTAAAGTCAAAACATTTTGGATTGTAAGTTATATATTGTTATAGAGTAGTTTCACAGTGGAGGCTTGTATTTCACTAAGTCGGTCCTAAAATAGGTTTGACGTACAAAACGTTAGGAACTTGATATAATAGTTAATGACGCAGCAATTTAGTTGTGGTGGCTGATACATTAATATCCGACTAATGGTTGTCTGACATCGACTGTCTGACCAACTCGCTGAGCGATTGGCGACTGACTCGTTACTATTACTACTACTACTACTTATTATAGGTGGGAGAGTCTATTAACTATAGAATAGGTGTGTCTCACTATAACATATATATTTTTTTTTTATTTATTTATTTTTTTTTTTTTTTTGTTAGTGAATATTGCACTAACAAAAAAAAATTATATATTATTACATGTGGGAATAACAATGGTTTTCTTTTTATAAGTTCTACTATTAATCCGAGGAGGTACGATGGAGTAATGATTAGCAGCTCAGATTGAGGAATCAGAGAGCAGAGTTCAAATTCCAGTCAGGTCCATTACTTTCACTTATGTGCTAATACCCTTGGAAAAGGAACGAATCCTCATCTTCTCCCCCCAGCTATGGGTATATAGCAAGACAGACTGGGCTCTATAGCCTTGGGGGGTAACTGGTCTAGGAAAATGTAACTCTGAATTGAAAATTGCATGTAGCACATATACAGCTAAACAAAGGATTGTTTGCATTGGTTTGATGATCCCAATGGACAAATTATGATTGTTTAATCCATAGCAGAGGGAGGAGATAGATTCATACCTTTCCCAACGGTATTTGCACGTAGGTGTATACAACAAACCCAACTGGAGTTCAAATTTGATTTCACATATTGAAAGAACAATGAGTGAAAGATCATTTTTTTTTTTATCTTGTTAGATATTTTGTGTGTTAGCTGATCCCCATTTTTTCTTTTAATACTACAATTTCCAATATCATTGAATTTCTTACTAGCTCAAAGATCTGTTTTCAATGCATAAACAAGTTTCTGTATTTCTTAATTAAATGCTAAACCTTCAGTTTCAGTAGTTTAACATTTTTCTTAAATTGTAATATATTTTGAAAGTGACTTAAAATGGAAAGCCTACTGTTAATATAGCAGGGTAGATTAGGCTCTTTAACCTTGAATGGCAACCAGTCTAAGAGAAGGAAAACTCTGATTTCAAAATGTAACAAAGTAACAGGAAACCATTAACTTTCCCCAAGAAGTTATGATGAGGCCCAAATGATAAAACTGAAGTTAAAGAGACATTATCAGCCATGGCCTGAAAGGAATACAGCATTTAAAAAAAAGCACAAAAGGGTTGCAGGCACAGATACCTTTGCACAATTATATAGAAGTTGATAGAATTATATAGTATAATCCTCCATAGTGACTGAAAATATATTTCATGAGTCTTACAAAGTTTTCAAAACAAATCCAATTATACTCTAAAATTAAATGTGAAGGTGTGATACTATAGACAGCCATGTACAGTGTGGTCTGAAAATCTTGTCATCCCTACATAATACATTTTCTATTTCAGATAGCTGACACAGACTTCCTTGATGTGTGACAGTGTCAATAAAAGTAAATAAACTGAATTGAGTATATGTGCTTTGTATTACTGTATTGTTCTCATTACTTTTTGATATTTGACAAGACTTTTGGATCACCCTGTAGAAAAAGAAGAGGTGGTTTTATCTCGGCCTCTAGTGTTTCTGTCTGCTTGACTAGTGGATGATTACTTTTTGAAGTTTGGTAATTGGCATCCACTTTGATTGAAGAGGGATAGGAAGTAAAAGAGTGGATGATGAATTTTTGGAGATCAAGTGGCAACAAAACCGGAAATAGGGTATATCCAGGTGGTAGTCTATATTAACAGTCTCTGTAGTAACTTGTGGTTGGAGTAAGTTCTGATCCATCTTTGTGGTAGATGAGTGTGTCTGTCATACACTTCTGAAGCCACCATTCATATTACTAGCTGCCACATCAGGATAAGTGAATGGATGAGAAGTTGGTAGGTGGGAGAGCTGATATAGCAGAAATTGTCCTCAGTATCTCCTACCTATTGCCTGGACAAGCAGGTGATGACCTGAATAAAATACCTACATATAATATAGGAAACGGTTTTCATTCTTATTTTTCATTGTGTTTACCTTTTGAGAAAGTAGCATGATTTTCACTAGCTTTTGGTGCATACCGACACAATCAAGAATCAAAATGCAACAGGTGGGGTGATCATTGGGTGATTGTCGGGAAGTTTGGCTGAGGATCATATTGTATGTTTATAAAAGGTAGGTGTTGGATGTCATCAAATATGGATCTAGCAGCTATACCTCTAATTAGGAGATTGGAGGTTTTGAGGTGCTGTTGTTCCCATATTTACTCTGACCTGGAGTGGTAACATCTGTTAGGATCCCAGCTATGATCAAATAGTGAACACTAAAACAAACAAAACACTACGAAAGTATAAAAATGCATTTTTATAGTAAAAAATACCAGTAATACATTTTCTTATATAAAAAACAAATTACTGACAATACTTATTTATAGTATATATTTAGTTGAAGCCATAAAATTGTGTTAAAAATATTTAGATTTCAGCATTAAATAAGCCGTAGAGGTTGATATGCTGTCGAACAAATTCAAACAACCAACATGAAAACTTTAATGATATTAATCCATATAATCTACAATTTCTTAATGAAATCAAACTGTATTCCAAAGTATAACTCATTAAAGCTACAATATAAAATACATATCTAGTAATTATGTCCACACAAACATGTATGTGCACAAAAGCCTGTATTAAATAATGGGAAGTAAGAGTGGATGAGAGATCAAGTGACAGCAAAACCGGAAATAGGGTATATCCAGGTGCTGGTCTATATTAACAGTCTTTGTATTAACTTGGGGTTGAAGCAAATTCTGGTCCACCCTTGGCAGTAGTTAGGCATATCTGTTATGCATTTCTGAAGCCTCCATTTGTATTGCCATTTTCGGGATGAGTAGATGGGTGAGAAGTTGGTAGGTGGGAGAACTGACATAGAAACTAATTAGACGTTCCCTTCAATGCTACATGCATGCAAGGGGGTTGTTGAAAAGTGCCCCTCCAATTCCTGATCAAGAAGCATCATCAAACATACATATTACTCCCCCTGCAGTTTGACACACACCAGTCGTATCATTTCTCAGCTTTAACGTTTACAAAAAATTGGGTCAGAATGGGAATTTTTCAGAACTTTTTAATTATTAAAATTTGGGAAAAGTAAGAAGTATAGTTGAAAGTGCTAGATCACAAATGCTTGTGGTTCATGGTATGTTCTTTTGTAAATAAGTAGAAAAGTTAAAAGCAAAGAAAAACATTCCTTGTTTTAAAATAACAAATATTTTGAGTTTAAAGAAAAAAGGACATTCTGGAAAATCTTAACATTTGAAAACTGAAGAATGTTTTTAATGTTCACTCTATAGAAGGCTCAAGTGCCACTCAGTAGAGGGTCACTGAAGGAGGTGGTAAGAAGTACAGTTTATGAGGATAATATGTGAGAATGACAACACTTTAGACTTGAGCAGTTTACTTTTTGAAGAACAATACAGTACAAAAAATAGCTGAGCTTGGAAAAAAAATTCTTGTCTGAATGATGTGTTGGTAAAAAATCTTTTTGGGTAAACAAGTTGATTTTCATATATATCTTTTGCTCTCTTACCTTTTTTTTCTTTTTTAATAAAAAGATTTGACTGACTTTTAATTACACAATGGTTAAGCATAAATGAAAATATTTTCACTTCTTTTCCAGAGGATGTACTTTTAGTTGGAACAAAACAGGGTCACCTTTTGCAGTATAAAATCAGTAAAGACAAAGACAAAGGTTTGTAGCATGTTTGGAAATCATTTTGTTTGCAGTTTGAATAATGTTAGATTTTGGGCCTTTGTTTATATACGTTTATATATATATATATATATATATATATATTTTTTTTTTTTGGGGGGGGTAGCTTTCTTCAAATATATCAGTATATATAGATAAATAAATAGAACATAGAATAGGTTGTACTAGAATTTATCTTGCCCAACACAGCAAAATGCTATAAAACCAAAACATTAATCTAAGAACTAGAGTGATATAATATTTACATTATTCAGACTATTGTCCGCATCTTCGTTGCCATATTTATTACAACGTTTCGGCCGTTGTACACTTCGGCCTTCTTCAGGTGGTTGGAATGTCGAACTGAACCCTTTATTTCGCTCACTGGGGCAGACTGTTCTAGTTCCACATGCCATGTTTAATGGATATTAGTTATCTCCTGTTAATTTCCTTCTGAAAGTTCTCCACTGCCTTAACTGGGTATTGAACTCACACTCTTTGGGTCCCTCTCTGGATTTAACTAACGTCTTTACACATGGCACAATGGATAAAGGCGTTAGTTAGATCTAGTGACAGGACCCAGTTAAGGCAGTGGAGAACTTTCAGAGGGAAATTAACAGGAGATAACTGATAACTGACATCCATTAAACATGGCATGTGGAATAGAACAGTCTACCCCAGAGAGCTAAATAAAGGGTTCAGTTCGACATTCCAACCACCTGAAGAAGGCCGGAGCATACAGTGGCCGAAACATTGTAATAAATATGGCGACAAAGGTGAGGACAATAGCCCGAATAATGTACATAATACCTCATCTCAGAAATATAGACAGAAACTAGAGTGATGTTCTTAAACAGCCTGGTATCAAAGTCATAGAGAAATGTCTAAACTGTCAACTGTAGCCACTTTTTCAGATCAATGATTAAAAATGACTTTGATAGAATGAACTCTGTAGGTATTAGAGAGGACTGTCACTCTCTGGACCTTGTGAACTGGCGTGACACTCACACAAAGAGCTGTACCAAATAACAAGCCACATCACTTGAGGACCTTCAACAACAGAAAAAGCTAAAGTGAATATTACATGTAATTTGAAAAGAAAATAATGACATAAGATGTTGACATTCCATCCTTCATCAAACAGAAATCAAACAATCTAGTACTGTGCTTAAATTCCTAAAATTGAGGTACCAAAGAGGAAAGCAATGTTTATTTTGTTTAATACCAAAATGTGGCACAAGGTGAAAAGGGGGTGAGGATGGTGGGAAAACTGGTCTTCAATCCGTCTTAGCTTAAACCACAGTATTCCTTGCATCAAAACAATACATTGTTACCACCATTTTTACTACATTCACCATAATACTTCAAAGTATCAATGAAGTCCTCATTTGTTCTCATATGTACAATTTGTCTGTGGGAGCAGGGAGTAAAAATAATGGCATTTCAATATGAAATCCCAATGAATATTTACAATAATTACAATTTCAAAACAATTACTATGAAAATATTTATAGAAAAGACACAGGAAAGTAATTATAGCAATTGAAAAGTGGCTGAAGTTGAGATGTCAGTTAGGACTGGTAACATTGCAGATTTTTCTTTGGATTTTGTCAAGAATTAGAAGATACATAGTAGAAGCACCAGACCAATTCTATGTTTAAATCAATGTTAAGTTACTTATGGCTAACTTTAATAACCTTTTAATATCCTGACTATAAAAAAAAAAAATAACTTGAAAAAAGTGGTTTGCTCACTTGTTGCAGTTAGAAATTTTTTTTTAAAGTTTTTGTTTTCTTGGTTTTTCTTAGTATTGTCCTTCACAAACTTACCTGACTTTACAGTGCGTCAGCTACTGAGGTTATAATAATAAGAGGTTAGACTTTCTTTGGTGTTTTTCAAATACCTGCTTGCATCTATACATCCATTATATTGATTTGTATTTGTCCCTGTCAGGATTGACAATGGGAGTAACAGCTTTTGCTGCTTATTGCTAGGCCAGATGAGGTAGTAATGAATGATTTGCAAAAAAATTTATTCACTTTTTGTCAAATATTACTGCATATCAGTCAGAACATTTTTGCCATATCTGATGATCGTATAGAGAAAAATGGATTTGTATCTTTCTTAAGACTTTCAGTGTGAAGAGATGGTAAACAGCTTCAGCTAGAATTAGGTTTGTTTTCCATACTGATTATATTAATGGATGTAGAAGTGTCATCATTAGCTTAATAATTAAGTGTAATATTGTAACTCTCACTCCTTTTTTCCTTCTTCTTCATAATAATACTGACCTTACAGGTTAGCTGGCTTTTCCCCAACCTTGGTTGGGGCTGGTGTGTTGTCTCGATAGGTTTGATTTGGGTTTCTTATGATCTTGTGGTTGATGGTGAAATCTTGTAGTGGACCAATATGTACACTGTGTACCACAGTTAAGAAATGGGTAATTCTTGACTACAGCTCTGCTAGTTTTGTATTTGTGTCCGAGACAATGTCAAAAATCAAGGCTGAAATAAGAACTCCTTCAATAAGAACTCCTTCAATAAAATGAAGAATACTGTTGACAACTCTAACAATAGGTTTATTGAATATTAAAATAGGTGAATAAAATGTCTCTTATCTACAGTAGAACTAAATTCTACCCAGCTGGATCTAGTAGTAATTGTTGAATTGTTGCTGGGCCCTGACTCTTTGTGTTTGGGCTACATGTGTCTTCATTTATATAGACACATCCAAACCTAAAATTATCATTTTAATGTATTTTTCCACTTCCAGTCACCTTTATATTAGAAAATCTTTTTGCAAACCATCTGGCTTTGTTTAAGAATTTCAGTCACTCTTTTTCTTAGAATAATACTCTTTTGGGTGAATAGTATTAATGTAAACAAACCCTGAATTTGGGGTCCAATGACCATGAAATTCAGATAACACATTAATCATGTCTTATTGGAGGGAAGTGGATAGATTGGTAGGGAATTTAGTTTTGCTCAATTTTTACTGAATCTTGGTTATCTCTGGATTAAGTTTTCTTTGGTGATGTTCTTAAATTCACTTTATTGTTCAAAATATAAGAAGCAACCGAAATTAAGATGGAGTAAATATTAGTGAAGAAACTAATAATGAATTAGATGTAATGTTTCTCTGTGACTTGGACAGATTATAAGAGTTTAGTAAAGTGAAGGGATACATCTTTATGAGAAGTTGTTTAAGAAAAGGAATATTTTTGATGTGTGTTAATTTGGAATCTAAATCTTTTTTTTCAGCTGAGAACAAGTTTATGGTCAAGCTAGAAGGTTCAAATAAATCATTTGCAAAGAAACCAATCACCCAGGTAAATATATACCCATCACATTCGGATATTTATTTATTTCTTTTCTTGAAATGGATTTATATTAAAATAAGTGTTTCTCTCAAATTATTAACCTTATTAAAAATCTACAGGTAGGATATATAAAAGTAATTTGGATCAAAAAGATGCTTGCTTGATATGGTTGATTTAAGTGCATTGACAATTAAGGAGCTTAAGTTCATATTAGGGAAATAGTTTTTCCTAAAGTTTTCTTGATATATAAAAGTATATATATATATATATATATATAATGGACTCTCCCGTTGATTCAGTTATGAAATTTGTGTGATAATCTTAAGTGGCATTTAAGACCCGCTAGTGATTTACAAAGGAGGCCACATATGGAGCAAGTGTGAGGTTTGTGAGATGAGATCACTGTTAGATTGGCTGACCTTTTAGATCTTGCTTCTTGAAGATGATTCAGACAAGCAGATTGAAATATATATAGGGCATCTCAAGGCAGTGTAATGGTTAGCAAGCTTGTCTTGCTGGAACAATTACAACTAAGTAGTGAGTTTAATCCTCACTGGGTGCCTACAGCTTTTGGCTTTGTTCAACATCTAAGCTGTGCTTGGAAAATTATATATATATATATATATATATATATATATATATATATATATATATATATAATAAAACATGGTTGGCTACTTTCATTTACAAGCACACCTGTCTGCAAGGGTAGCTAGCCAATCCCTTTCACAGACATCTGCTCAGGCTCATTTGTGTTTGTTCAAAACCCACGGAGCCCACCTGTGGTTTATACTGAAACTACTGAGTGAACATTAGTTAGTTTCAGGAAAAGAGCGCGTAATCTGTCATGATAAGCAGTTCAAGCAATGGAAGGATGCTAAAACCTTCGATCATGCTGACTTGTGACTTCGTACTAACACAACCATCAACAAACAGTTCTGTCTATCCAATTTCACTCACAAGGCTTGGGTCAACCCATGGTCTGATTTTCAAGCACTTTCCAAAGGTGACACATGCTAAGATCACCTCCCTCAGATCGATAACATCAAGAAGTCACCTTCCAGAAATATTGATCATGGTGATACGTAGATATTGTAGACCGATGAAAGAACTTTGAGATTAAAAAAAAATCTATATTTTATATATTGTTAGGCCTTTAGACCATATAAAAAATAATATTTATTGTATATTATTAGACCTATAGACCAAATGGAAGTAGGATGAGAGATGATGTTAAAAATCAGAATTTCCAAACACACTTTTGTCCTTTCTCAACAAGACATAAAATAAAGTTGGACTTTGAGGTCAGGGTGACTGGTTTGTTTTTCTTTTCTAGGTACACAGGCTTGAAAACCTGTTACCACATTTATTTTAATAAAATTTCTCAAATATTCAGGCCTGTGTGTGTGTGTGTGTGTATGTATATATATATATATATATATATATATATATATATATATATATAGTCAACTCTCCTGTCGTATTTGACATGGGGTCAAGCAGCTCAGTTTCTGGGAACCAACAGCCCAGTCACCAGCACACATAAATTGATTATAGTGGTGAAGGCTTTGTGCAGAACCAACCACACTTTTTGAAGAGCCAAATACAGAGACCTGGTGCACTACATGCATTGTTTTTAATCATTTCATCCCAAGCAAAAGATGATAAAGATGCAGAGGGTTATATGAAGTGAAAAAGAATGAGAATATTTTAGTGAGAAAAAGTGAACAAAGGACAATAAAGGAACAGGGTTCAAGAAGACAGAAGATAGTGACTGACATTGCATTTAAATAGTTGAAGATTGTAGATGGCATGGGATCAAGAAATCAGAAATGAATTTCACAGGTGAGAAGTAGGTAAAAAAGACTATAGAATCTCCCCTTGTCTTATTTACTTTCTATTTGAATTCTATCTCCTTAATAGAATTTTTTTTTAATTGTATTTCCATTATTTTTTTTTGTCCAGCTTTCTGCCATCACAGATGAAGAATATATTCTGGTTAGTTTATCTGGTAAGTATTCATGGTTTGTTTTTTTTATGTTATAACTCACTCTTAGCAGTTACATTATTATGGGTTAGGCTACTTTCTGTGACGTCACTAGAAATTCTCGACTGACTTCAACAGACTTCTCTTGACTCATTTTGAGTTCTTTATTTAAGGCATCTTGTCTAGTTCATTTTGTGTTACTGGGTGTGTCTTATTTACTCCACAACAATAAATGTTCAATGGACTTATCTTATTGACTGACTATATTCAATACTTAAAAAAATATCACCATTAGTATTTGAAAAGTTAATTTCTGTATTTACAAATGAATAAGATTTATAGTGATAGAATTACAAGAGTAAAAAAAGAATAATTGTGGATGGAAATACAGACTTTCAAAACTGTGTCATCACGTGTTTAACAGAGAATGATTTTTAATTCTTTTTTTTTTTTTTTTTTCTTGGCACTCAAAAATAAAACAAAGTAAAAAATCAGACAAAATCTAATATAGACATACAAAAAAATTAAATAATTGGCAAAGTTTAATCTTCCTCCCTGCAAAAAAAAAAAAAACTGGTGTGTCAAAAGCATGGTTTTTCTCTAGACACCATTATTACTATATACCTCCTCAACTCCCTTGACAACTTAATTTTATGAAATTTTGAGAAATTAAAATTTCACCCTCTTTTATGTAATAAATACGAATGTCAGTGTGTCACTGTGTCAGACTTTTTCAACTTTACTCCTAGAGGCTATAGCCCAACATATCATACCATTTTGGAACCTGGCAGACTCCTTGGGAAAATTAAAAACATCCTGGGTTGAATCTGAACCCACAATCCGGAAATTTGGAATTTGCAAGTTTTCATTACTGCAATTGTCTTCAGCAATTCCCACCCCCTCATGTATTTTTTTTTTTTTTTTTTTTTTTGTATTATAACAATTTGTATAACTTGCAAATAAATTTGGGAATAATCAAAATTTATTGCGAAAGCCACCCATGAGATAAAAATGATTGTTTTTTTGTATGCAAAGTAAGGACCTATGAACATCAAATTGTCTTTAAATTAAGTGGTGGCAGAAGAATTATCATTGAACTTTTAAAAGGTAAACTTAAATATTAATGCAATACTTAATTGCAGCAATCAATTTTGAGTCCTGTAGTTTGTTGCCTATTGCATCTACTACTCCTGTTGTGATGAAGGCCCAATCAAGAGCTCTCCATAAGAGCTGGCTTAAATACTGCCTGATAGGGCTGCTTCTAAGGCAGTCATATTTATATTAGTTAAAAGCAGGACTCCTTAGAGAATTTAAATCAATTTATTTTTGTCAAACAGAAATTTACTGAAAATCTGCTCTGAATCGTAAAATAAAAAATGTAATTAAACAATGACATTATTGTTGTGGGGCTCTCCCCTTTTTACATAAGATGGACTCATCCAAAGTATACTTGTACTGACAGAGATATTACCTGCTGTTCAGAGAAGTTGAGAGATACGGAGACAGACACAGGGTGTCCTCAGAGAGTTATACAAGAGTCCAGAGAGAGAGATGATTATGGCTTTACTTACAGAGACTTGTACATATACTTTCTACTAACCTGCATTCCTGGACTACTAATCTTCACTTCAAGTCTGTATTCTTACATTTAATACACTTATTTTTCTATTTTAATTACTGGTGTTTATTTATTTGTGCAGGATTCCATTCACGGAATCCACAACAATTATTTTAATTGCTTTTATAAATAATATATATTAAGGACACCATTTTCTTGAGAAAAAAAAAATTTTTCAATGAATTTTTATAAGAATTTAAATTTTTTTTTTTTTTAAATTAGAATAATTTATTAAGTTTTAAATCTTTTAAAATTCTATTAATTAGACCCGTTTTAGATAATGTTATTAAGTAAAAACTATATTTTCTAATCATCGAACACCAATATTTTTAAAAGAATTTTGAATTTTTTTGTATATATAAACATGCTGAATTTTGTGGGTATGGAAGTTCATTATCAGAAAATAAGAGTGAAAACTATAGTAAATTTAAAGCTAGAAAGTATTTAAAATTTAATCCATTTAGATTATGGAGAATATTTTCCTAATTTTTTTTTTTTTTTTAAATTACTGAGTACTTAAAAGTTATATATAAAAGGCACTCTAATTGTATTCAATTTTTTTTGTTTTTTACAGTTAAAGCACCCATAGAACATTAAATAAATAAACATTGATCTGTCATCAAGCTGTCAAACACCAAAACAGCTACTGCTATGTTAAAAAAATGAATTTCTCTGATATTTTAAACTTAAAGTAAATATTTGTTTCAAATCAAATTATCCTTTAAATCAGCTAATATTCCTCAAATAAAGTTTCAGAAAAGTATATTTTATTTATGGAAGATTTATTTAATAAAGAGGATTATTGCAAGAGACATGGCTTAAAAAATGGTGTTAAAATCTTTTCCTATTTTTTTTTTTTTTTTAAATCCTTCCAGTCCATTTAAATTAGTTTTGAAATGCAGCAAAGTATTTTGATTATTGGAAATATTTAATTTAATCTATTAACTTGAAACTAAAATAAAAGTTTCAAGAAAGATTTTTCATTTTTTTAAAATTCATTTTAAACCTTAGTTATTGAAAATTGTGTGTGTGTATATATATATATATATATATATATAATGTTATTTAGACAGCAAATGTTGAAAGATATTTTTTGTTGATTAATTTTAATAAGCGATTTTTCAAATTACAAATAATCCTTCTCAGACAATGAGAAAATTCTGTCAGGAATTGTCTGAATTTAATTTTGGAAAAAAAATACTAGAAATATGGTTCAAGCTTTTGTATTCATCAAGGCAGCGAGACAATTCTGAGAAGGATTATTCATAATTTTGAAAAAAACGATCATTAAATATTCTACATAAAATGTCTGTCTGCTTTCAAGATACAATAAAAAATATTTTTATTTTTTTATTGAGTTTCATGCATGATGCAAACATCAGGTGTTGATTGAAAACTGATGATTGCATTGTGCATGAAACTATTGTCCTACAGGTGAGGGGAAAAAATCTATATATTAATATAAATTTTAGCATTAGCTCTATTATTATACATTGTGTTCTGTTTTATAAGCACCAGTACTCAATGTGTCATACTAGATATAATTCTTTACTTATTTTTTTTGTTTTATAGAGAAACAACTTCACTCCATTTTTTCCTTTAATGTTAACATTTTACCATTTGATTTTATTCACATCTTATCAATCTTTTCATTCATATTCTATATTTCTTTCCACTATATCATCAATCTTTTTTTATAGACAATGTAATTAGTGTCCATGACTTGTCAACTTTTGGATTGCTCACGACAATCTCCCGTACAAAAGGAGCTACACTTTTCTCTGTGGAAGTCAAGGTAAAAACTACATTTTTAATCCACATATATAAACTGCAATGTATATCTTTATAGATTTGCAATGTTGTCTCATCTTTACAGCTGTGATTATCTGCTTAGACCTCATTTTGTGATTTGATAATTAAAAAAAAAATTATGACATTGAATTAAGAGCTCATTTTGAGGAAAATATTAATTCGTTACATTAATGTAAGCTAGAAAAGTACAAAGTTATTTGAGAGGAACGTATAAGAAATGGGTGGACAACCAACATATTTCCAATCGGAGTCAGTTGCCAAGGTTTTATTGCCAACTTGACAAAAGTGGGATTGTCCTCCTCCAGAACAGAGGTCAAAAGCTGCATCTGTACAGATCTGGCCAGGGTGTCAGCTTGATCAATGGAAAGTGGGCTCCCTGTATCAAACAAAAATGTAATAAAGAAAGAAACACAGGCAACTGTTTTAGCAATAAAAGAGGAATAAGAACTTTATAAAGTCATCTGCACACTATCAGTTACTTAAGCCTAATCTGAGAGGGTATTTTCAAGGCTAAAGGTCATAAAGACAAGGTTAAGAAATTCACTGTTTGAGGAGAATTTTGGATCATACATGTTGCTACCCCTTGAAAAGGAATTGTTAGATGAATTGGATATGGAAACAATTATTATGCAATAAGCTATTTAAAAATATCAACCAATTACTTAAAAATTAAAAAAAAAAAAAACATTTTGGTATGTACTGCTAGTAATATGTACTTCACTGTAATTACCAAGAAATACACATTTTTTTTCACAAAAAATTTAATTGTACCCTTTTTTTCCATATGTATTTTTTAAAGTTTTTTTTATTTTTTCATTATGAAAATTATAACATTGTAGTTGTGGATGGGCCCTCTTTGTCTCTTGGTAACCAATATTTTTACACCTAGTTCGCCACTGCCTGGCTCTCCCACACTGTGATATTAAACAAGGCTCTGTGGTATCATGAGGTACTGCTTGATTGTCTTGGGTTAGTACTAAAGAAAATTATACCTGACTGTGGCACAATGGGTTCACATGTGACCATCTTAACGTAGACAAAATAAAGTGGGCCCTAAATTATGTTAGTGGAGATTTTTTCTTTTTAATGACTGTAGATAAAATCTTTGAAGTCTCCTGCTCAGAGGCAATCCACTTGACAGAAGAGAAAGAAAATAAATAAATGAAAATCGGGATCAATGGGCACTTTATTGGCAACCTTATATAAGTCGAGTTCCATTTAGAACAGGACAGATTGAAAGGAGCTATCTGTCCAACTAGTCACAGTCAGTAGCAGTCACTCGGAATTAAGCAATGAAGGGACCTTGGTGCCACCTACTTACTACCTGAGAGAATATTAAGTCTGACTGGGAAGTTTCTTGAGATAATTGCCAAATTATTGAGAATTGGATTTGTTTTTATTTTTTGTTGTAGACTTCATCTTCCATTTCTTGTGAATGTGCAGTGAGTCCCTTCCACTATTTGTGCACACTGGTGTTAACAAGAAGCAAAACACAATGTGGAGATTGATTTGATCAGTTGGTGATAGACGGAGAGAGGTGTCCCTCTTGTATGTTTACACTGTCATCCTTATTCTGATCAAGACTTTTTGTTGAAAGCAAAGTATTAAGAAGCAAAAAAAACATAGTGAACTGTTAGGTAATATCAGTCCTCCTATATGGCAGTGAATGCTGAACAATTCCACAGCTGAATAGACTTTAGTCAACAGAAGGATGATGAGAATCTTATGGACTGAATATGTGAGTAACTAGGAAGTTTTAGGGAAAATGTAAGCAAAAAGGACATTTACACTTAGAATCAAAAAGTGATAATTGTAATGTCTAGGGCACATAATGAGGAAAGAAGGATTAGAGAATTTGACACTCACAGGGCATATTGAAGCCAAGAGAAACAAAGAAAAGCAGAAATTTAACCACCCTAACCAAATTTGTCTAATTTGTTGGCACAGCAGGGATTAGGAGATAGCAAAAATACAAACTTTTACTAAGAGCTACAAATGGCAGGAAGTTGTGGAGAGCCATGATTATCAACGTCCTGAAGGAACATGGTACTTAGTTGTATGAATTTACTTATTTTTTATTTATTCTGCACATGTGTATATTCTTTTTTTTTTTTTTTTATGTGCATATAAAATTTATCAGCAAGTGCACAAATATTAAACTTTGACCCCTCCATGGTGGTAATAGTCATAGGAACAGGATTCCTGATTAATTTTTTTTTTTTTTTCTTTCATTATTTTCTTAGAACTGCCCCACCCCAATTTAAATTGCCCCAGGTTAAAAATAAAAAAAAAGCCTTAATCACCCACCTTTAGCATTCTAAAACATTAAATGTTTAGAAAATAAAAAATTATAAAAAAAATGGTAAAAATAATAAAGCTTTAAAAAATAAATTAATGCAAAAATTGGAGATTTCACCTCGAAGACCTGACAAAGGAGATTTGAGCAGAAGTACAAGTATGTATGTATGTATGTATGTATGTATGAATGAATTCTTTGATCTTTTTTTTTCTTTTTAATTTATTTATTTTCAGAAACTTGAAGAAGGTGATATATATCAAACACAACTCAGGTTATGTGTGGCCGTCAAAAAGAAAATTCAGGTGAGATTTGACAATATTTTCATGAATTCTTTTCTTTCTATTTTGGAGATATTCTCAGCACCATCTTTGTATAATGTTAAGGAAATCTTCGTTGTTTTTTGGGTGGGGGATGCTCAGCTCTTTATTGCTAGAAATGTTTCTAGTGAGGTAATAAGTTTATTTTTATTTTGATGAGCAGAGATGCACATTTAATCTGGGGATTAGTGAATTTGTTTGTATGACATGTTGGGACAGAAAGGATGTTTTTCTGCATAAAAATCTTGACCATGTAATTTTGGTCCTTGATTGCCTCTCCTTTTGTATAACCATGACCTTTGTTTTGGCAATCTGTTGTTCCTGTTCCCAGTGCTACTAAAATTGTAGCATTCTTGATGTCACCTGGCCATGTTTTTTTTATCTTCATTTTCATCGCATGTTGATATCAGCAAGATGGGAGATAATCAGATTTTACAAGGATTTCACCAAAAGTAATTTTTTTCAGATTTTAGGTATGAAACGCAGCAAAACCAGTTTCACAGAACAAATGAACAAACTCTGTTGATAATTAACAGATTTAATGAAAACAAATTGAAGAATTACAACGTACATAAGAAATAAGGAATTATTCATCTATGTCACTTGGTGCTGCCTTGTATTGGCTGAACTTTAGTTTGAAGAAAAAGTTTTAAGTGTGAGAAACACCAACATGTTTTTGATGCTAGAGCTATTTACTAAGCTTAACTTAGTTTAGGTGTAAGGTCAAAAGTATGGGGATTATACTGTATGAGCTTTTATAAAAGATTACCTGAATCACCCATGCCTTACTGTGTCACACAGTCTTTTGTGAGAAAATGATGATTGATTTTTTAAATCATTGTTATAATTTGTGCAGAAAAATGATGCATTTCAATATTATTCAATAATCTTGCCAGTGTGACCTCCATCTTCTGGCTTTCTCCTTCTATATTTTGGATAGGAGTCATTCCCTTGTTCAAATTTAAATTTAAATCAAAGGGGGAAAAAATTTCAGTGGGTGTGTGTGTGCAAAAACAGCTTGATCTGCTCCCTTTGATATGTATTTGATGCAATACTTGATTGAATGAATTGACGAGGAGCTTTCAACAAATATATTGTAAGGCAGCACTACCCGCTGATTGATGACTTCTTGCTCAGCTTGACGTCCATATCGTCTCATTTTGATTTTGCCAATGTGGCTGCCATCTTCTGGCTTTCTCCTATATTTTGGATAGGAGTCATTCCCTTACTCAAATTTAATTTAAATCAAAAGGGAAAAAATTTTCAGGTGTGGGAGGGGGGATCTTTGACAAAATGAAATATGCTTATCCAAGTACCCTGGGTAATATATATATATATATATATATATATATATATATATATATATATATATATATATATATATATATATATATTATGGGTGTCTATCTCTAAAACCCTAGGAGGAGTTCGATAACAGACAGACGGAGGATACAACTTTTATATATATATATATATATATAGAGCCACATAAAACTGAACAAAACTTTTAAATTAATTTCTGAAGGCAGTGGTGTCTTTTTTTATTACTTTATTTTTTTTATTTTATTTTATTTGTTTTATGTTTTTATTAATTAAATAAGCGGTTCAGATGAAATGGATTAAAAAAAAAAAATGAAAACTAAAAATGTTGTTTTGGCTGTCACTCATATGAGATCTAAAATTTCTATTTTTGTTCCGTGTATTAGACATTGGCATTTTGATATTTGTTAACACCAAACAACAAGTAGCTTTTAGTGTTTGAAACATCAAGATGTTTTATGCTAGAGCTGAGTTGAAATTTAATTTTAAGGTCACAAGTATGAAAATACCCAGTAAGGATTAAAGTCGATCTTCAGTTATAATTTGCAACATTGTCTTACTAACCACAAGATAGCTATATTTTTGTGTTATAACGCAGAAACAAATATTCATTTTACAAGCAAAATAAAATTCTCATTTTCTACAATTTTAATATTTTTTTTTTTTCCAATTTTAAAACTTAAGTTTTAATTTTTCGTGTTTGTTTTTTACAGCTGTATTACTGGAAAAATCGAGAATTTCGGGAGATGCAAGTAAGTAAAAAGTGCAAGTCAGTTAACCGTTTTTATTTTTTCTCACTGTGAACCCTGCAGAGGTCTTGTAGCAGACTTCTTGGTATATAGCTCAAACAGTGAAAAGATTACTGATTAAAGATTGGGGTAAGAATGTTAAGCTACGAGGGTCATTCAATAAATAAGGTGAATTTTTCGGTATAAGGACTTCTAATACAGATAAAAGCTTACTTTTTTTTTTATTTTTCAACATAGTCTCCCAGCACTGTCACACACTTTTCCCATCTGTTCGTATTCCCTCAGTGTAAAAATCTTTGGACTGATGTCTCAGCCAGTCGCTCACAACACCTCATCATCACTTTTAAACTTCGTGCCTCTCGTGAACACTTTCAAGGGACCAAACAGGTGAAAGTCTGAAGGGGCAAGGCCTGGGCTGTAAGGAGGATGAGGGAGCAGTTTCCAGCCCAGCTCGTTGATGGTCTGCACCGTTTGGGCTGCTGTGTGAGGCCTTGCGTTGTCATGATGCAAGATGACTCCTTCTGACTGATGACCCCTGCGTTTGTTCTTTATGTCTTTCTTGATCTGCCTCAGCAGTTCACAATAGTTCTTCTGTTGGACTGAATGAGGTCATTGACTGATTCGATCACCTCAGGAGACCTCACTTCTGTAGGCCTCCCAGGCTTGTCTTCATCCTCAACATTGCTCCGTCCTTCTTTAAACAATTTAGCCCACTTGTAGATATTTTTTGGCTGAAACATGTGGCACCATACACATTTGACATTTTCCTATGAATTTCAACTGGTTTGCACTCTTCAGCAACCAAAAACTTGATAACTGACCGCTGTTCAATCCTGGAGCATGCTTCTTGGTCAGCTATCTTTGTTAATTGCCAAAACTCTCAAAGTTTTTTTTTTAATCTGCAAAAGAAATTAAATCTATGTGAAAAAGAAGTAAAAAAAAAAAAAAAAAAAATAGTAAGCTTCTATCTGTATTAGAAGTCCTTATACTGAAAAATTCACCTTATTTATTGAATGACCCTTGTATTATCTTTTGACTGAATGACTAAAAAGAACTAGCAAAGTTTAAACATTGCAAAAAGGTGTCAAAGGAATGGTTTTTCACTTGACACCAGTGTTACTGTACATTCCCTTGGCAATTTTATTTTCAAAAGCTATTTTCAGAAGTCTAATGAAATCCAAACACATGAAACTGGATTTTAGCCTATTTTTCTTGAGAATTAACAAAAGTATTAATTGCTATTTATTTTATTAGACTTGTTTATTTACAAGAATAATTTTATATTCACAAGTTTATAAAAAACATATGAACCAACTACAATGCAATATTCATTATTTACAATATTATAAAAAATTATCCATAAATTTATAAAAATGTTTGAACAAGAGAGCCAGAATACTTAAATACACAAACACAAGGAACTGTAATTATAAATTAAAAAAAATATGCATTTTGCTCTGACTGCATAAATTCACTAAAATAGTTTGTGAGCATCTGGATTTATATCTTGAGAACTGGCAGTAAAAATGTTAAAAACTAATTATTTATTAGTCTGTTTATTTACAAGAATAGTGTTTAATACTTTTGTCAATTCTCAAGAAAATTTATCAATTTTTGTTGAATGTATAAATCCAGCTTGGGTTTCATAAATTCTAAAAAATTACTTTTTAAAACAAACATTGCTGAAGTTTGTGCAGTAACAAGAGTATCAAGGGGAAAAAACCATCCTTTTGACAAACTTTATTTTTTTTTTGTGTACATGTGTTAAACTTAGCCAAATAACTGATAATGAATGATTTAAATTAAATAATCAGATTTTATCATAGCATCAGATCTCTGAATCTGTAGAAAAATGTAAGATGGTTTAATTATCATTATCTTCTACTGATTTGTTTGAACAAATATCCTTATCATGGTGGTTTTTGTCACAATATTTTCCTCTTTTGTTTGCATTTAACTCTTTCACCTAAAACCCCGAAGAAAAATCTGCATATACCCTGGGCAATGTTCAACCTATGTACCTGCAAAATCATCTCATCGACTTTTGTAATCATAAGGGGGATCCGAATGCAGAAGCCCTATTGAATCTCTATGGTCTATCAATGGCAGCCATCAGCAGTTCTGGTGTAGTCATACTTGTCCATTGTTTGACATTGTCCAACCAATTTTTGTGTTGACATCCTATTCTGTGTCCATCTTCAATGGTGCCTTGCATGATGGTCTTGCACAGCCTGTTATGCCTTGTAATGTATCCAGACCATGCCATTTTTTTCTCGTTTGACAGTAGCGAGAAGTTCCTGGTGGCCCACAAAACTTTTGACCTTCTTCCCAATAGGTTCCCAATAGAAGATGCCAAGAAGTTTTTTTTTTTTTTTTTCAGGCATTTGTTATTAAATGCTTAAATCCTACTCTCTGTTTTTGCCAACAGTGTTCACATTTCACACCCATATAGGAGAATAAAAATCACCAACAATTTGTACAGTCTGTGATTCTGCTCCTCCATATTCTTGCAAATTGAACTATTACTGCAGCAATCCATGTATGGATTTCTGAACTGCAGGGTACCATCCTTAGACAAGAATACCCCCAAGTATTTAAATTGATGGTAATATTGACACAGGTGTTAATGTTTGTGTTATTCACCATAACTTTGTATTTCTCAAAGCTGACCTCCATACCATATGTTCCTGCTCTTTCAACAAGTTTGTTGGTCAAGTCTTGGAGTTCACTGTTACTACCTGTTATGAGGTCAATGTTGTCTGAAAATTGTAGGTGAGAGATGGGTCTACCCACAAAATAGAGTATAGGGTATTTTTTTATTTTTATTTTTTTATTACCCTGTTACCAAGATATTCACTTGATTCATTGTTGTTGCGATGTACTGAAGTTTGAAAAGGATCTCTGCTACTGTATGGATGTACACTATGGGCTAAAGATTTGGGGATACCATCTGGATTTAATAATTAATAAGTTTCATACCTCCTTTGGTTTTATTGACTCTTCCTAAGCTAGGATGCTGAATTTAATCCCTCATCATCAATAATAATAATGATATTAATTTTTTTTTTTTTTTTTTTTTTAAGAGGAATATTTTTAGTAGTTGACCTAAAATTTTAAATTTGCCAGCAAAATAGATGAGGTAGGAAGAGCTAAAAATTTAAGGAAACTCTGCCATAATGGATTAATTTCATTGTCATCATCATCATTATTATTATTGTAGATATGATAAAACTCGTCAGGAAGAGAAGAGAAAGTTCCTCTGGCCTGAAGTGAACTAGTAAATTAATTTTGAAAAAGGCATACAATGTTCAATATCATAATTTTTGTGCTTTGGGAATAATATTAAGCAAGGCTTATGAATTTTTTTATTTCTGATGATAACTGTAGTAGCTGTAGGGAAAGAGTGTGTGTGTATTTATATACACACACACACACACACACAAAAAGTTGTTTTCAGGCACAAGTGTTTGGCTAGCCAATCACTGTTGCAGACACCTGCTGAACATCCACAAAACTCACGTGTGATTTATACTGCAATTATGTTAAGCTGGTCTCAGACTTTCTTGGGAAAGTGTGTATCATCTGGCATGATCAACATTTTTTTTTTGAACAAGCCCAGTATACACAAAGCTTTGGCGTTGCTGACTCCTGACTTCATGCTTACTTACCCAAATTCACTTGCAAGGCTTGGGTTAACCTGTAGCGTGAGATATATATATATATATATATATATATTTATTTAGACATTTTCCAACAGTGTTGTACACTGGTATCTCTTCTTCCCAGACTGATAGCATCAGGATGGAACCTTTCTGAGAAATTGTCCATAATTAGATTTGACCTATGGTCAGAAAGTGAACTTGGGCATGCACTCATACATACACATGGTAATTGCTGCATCTTACTCAGATGAGAGCCACAGCCCCACCCCTTACATCACTTCTAATGACTTTCATTTTGTTTAGTCATCCATAGCCCCTAAGATGACTCTTGAGACAGCATTCAATTTCATAGGGATCAGGCATATATAGTAGATAAACTCTGTATCCTTGATTAATTGGATCTGCATGCACGATAACTCTGTGTATCACTGTGTGCCTTATCAGTTCAGATGATGATCTGCAAACCTGCTTACATACATACATGTGCACATACATAAAGGCCAACAAGACTTCTATTAAGGATTTTTTCATTTTTCCTGTGTTTTATACCATCTTCCTTTCTCTCAGTGAACATTTGAATATAATTTGTCAATAGTTTGTCTGTGTGATGATGTCTTTCATAAGCCAACATTAAAGAATTTTTGCCTGATAATGTGACTATATCTACAGGAACAAATATATTAAATATCTCTTTATAAATAATGATTAAAAAAAAACTGACACAACAGCTGGGAAGATGTAATACTTGAAAAAGCTAACATTTGCAAGACAAAAAATAGAACTGACATAGGACAAAAGAAAACAGTTTATACAATGTAGTTAGACACATTCAAGATTTTTCTAACATTGTGTAAAAGATAACATGAGAAACGATTGCATCAGTTTAATATTTTTGATAGCATGTTTTTTATTTTTTTTTTATTGCCTCAGGTTATGAAGTGGTATATAATTTTTCACTTTGCCACTTGCCATGTTCAATTTGTATGACATGACAGGTGGTATTGCATCTGTTGTAAATGCTGCTTGCAGCTTTTGGTTAAAATTACTCCAGTTAACTGTGATTACAGTTGATGTTTTGTTTTGATCTTGAACAGACTTTTTTTTTCATTTTTTGTTTTCTTTTTTTATTTCTTCTTTTTTTTCCTGTCTCCTTCTTCTTCCCCTTTTCCTGTCTCCTTCTTCTTCCCCTTTTATTGTCTCCTTCTTCTTCCCCTTTTATTGTCTCCTTCTTCTTCCCCTTTTCCTGTCTCTGTCTCCTTCCCCTTTTCCTATTTCTGTCTCCTACTCTTTTCTCTTTTTCATTTGTGTTTTTTCTTGCCTTGCAGGCTGATTTATCTCTTTATGACACGCCTCGAGCCATGACGTGGTGCAATGATTCCATATTTGTTGGTTTCAAGAGAGATTATTTTGTTATTAAAGTAAGTTGTTCTTTGTCTTCTTAAGTGCTAATTTTCTGGAAATTATGGATGGCATTTGGATTTACAAACCCTTTGTGTTAAAATATTCAGGCAAGAGGAAACTATTAGTGTAGAATTTATTTACATCTCCCAATTTCAACAGTAAAATGATGAGCCCTACTTGCCAGTTTAACACATGCTTAAATTCATGCCATTTCGGTACCAAAGAGGAAAGCTCATTGGAACAATTACTATGAAAATATTTATAGAAAAGGCAAAGGGAAGCTATGCTCTTGTGTTGATCCGTTTCTCTTTTCCAGCCTTCTGATGGAGAGACTTACTAACCAGCATCAAGCAGGAAAGAATTTGGTAAAGTGAGAAAGAGGAGAGGAAAGTTAGACTGAAAAAGAAAAGAAAACCAGACAAAAGGAGAAAATATAGAGATAGACAGGGACAGATTTGTTGGCTGAATATCAATGTAAAAAAGATTGGAAAGGCATGACACAATTGTGATGCATTAAAATTACTTATGGAGAGATAGAGAGAAAAAAAAACATAAAATTCTGTAGAAAATGTTTTTCATATATGAAAATAGTTCATACTTATATAACATGTCCAGTCAACAAAGATTAGAAGGGATAAGGGAGATAATGTGATGATACAGGCAAAGAGTCAGAGAAAAGCAGACTCTTGAGGTGGTGGATAATTTTAGTTGTTAATGCCCTTAGAATTTCCATGGATCCAGCAAATAAAGTGAAACCCAAACTTGTCTCTCTCTTATTCTTGGAATCATGCCAGTGGCAGCTGCCTTACCAATTTGACCAAGGAAACCAAAAATACTTAAATTTGTTTGTATATTTTTTTGTTGTTGTCTGTGAATGCTTTATATATTTTTTAATTTATTTTTTTCTTAGTAATTTTTTTTTAGTTGATAGTAATTGGATTTTAAATTAAAAAAAAAATTTTCTTGCAGATAAATGATGGTAAACGGAAGGAACTTTTCTCTTTAGGGAGTAAACAAGGTGACCCTTTGGTTTCCAAATTAACTGATAGCCAGGTCATTCTAAGCAGAGATGAAATGTCCATCTTTATGGATGAAGATGGTTCACCTAGCCAGAAATATCCACTTCAGTGGACAGACATTCCAGTTGCAGTGGGTAAGTTTTGTTTTTGTTAAACAATATATATAATTACCTGTAAAAAGATATTGAAAGATATTGAATTTCTCTGAGATTAGAATTTTTTTTATTCTTGAAATAGATGAGCAATATTTGCATGATTTTTTTTCTATTTTTCTTTCATTTTTATTACTCTTTTTTTTCTTTATTATCTTCTTTTTTTTTCTCCTTTTATCTTCTTTTTTTTCTCTTGAAAATTGAAATCAAGGATAAAATTGTGGATTTGGTAATTATACTCACAATCCTAAAACTTCTCTGCAGCAATGGGTGACAAGATTGGTTGCTGTCCTGTCTTGTGTAGCTATTTGTATAAACTTTGGAATCATTAACTTGTTCCAATATAAAGCAGCCTTATAGCAATATCATGTTAAAACATCAGTTCTTGACTGATCACTAAAGTTGAGCAGCATCAAGCTTGGCCAGTATCTAGATGGGTACCTGCTTTGGGAATACCAGGTGCTATTAGCTTGGATGTGAGAGTGGTGTAATGGATGACAACAATTGGAAATCTGGGAGCCAAGTTCCAATTCCATTCAGGTTCGTTATATTCACTTATGCACAAATGCTTATGGGAAAGGTATGAATCCATTTCTTCTCCTCCAGCTATGGGTTGAATATTAGGACTTGTATCAGTAAATCATAATTATGCTCAAAAGGTTCTTACAATCCAAAAATATTTTCTGGCTGTAAATAACCTGAAAAAGGTTAAGCTATAAAAAAAAAAAAATCCAGATCAATCAATATAGTCATTTACACAAAGCAAATACACAGCAGGATTGGCTTTTGGTGAAGGCATCAGAATTTGACCATTAGAAGGGTGCTGTCCAGCTCTGAGCAAAGTTTCTTGATGCCAACATATCTGCAGAAACTCTCTTAAGGAAGATAGCCTATAAATTGCAACTGGTTGCATATAAATTTATTTAAACTAAACCTGACCGGAACACTAGAAATCTGGTCCCGTGTTAATCAAATATTAAGTGAAGTAATTTTTATAAATACTTCATTCATTTACATATTCAGAACTGATATTATTCTGAGATGAGTGTGAATAAGCATGAAAATATTTAATCATTTAAACCTTGTATAATCTGCTTGTTCTTTTTTATATATTATCAAAATATATATATATATATATATATATATATATATATATATATATAAAAGTTGCAAATTAAAAAATGTTTTATTTTATGAAAGTATATATATATATATATATATATATATATATATATATATATATATATATATAAAAAACTTTCATAAAATAAAACATTATTATTTTTTTTAATTTGCAACTTTTTCTATATATACATATTAAGAAAGTATACGTGGCTTCTCATCATGCTATATATATATATATAAAAGATGCATGATTATAAATATGTTTGGGAGTTTGTTTCAAAATTACCCAATAGTCAGGCTTACAGCCTTTGTTTATATGAGTGAATATAAACCAAAAATATGAAAATCTATTTCCCAAAAAAAAAAAAAAAAATGGTTGCCTCATTTACTTGTATGATATGGAGTAGTGGGCTAAAAAAATTGTTTGAATATATGGCAGGAGTAAGTTTGAAATGATTCACAGGTCCTTTTGAAAGTTGTGGCTGGGGATGAGTTATGTAAATTTGGTTATTTTTTTTTCCATAATGTCTCGTATATTCAATAAACCAGTAAACATAAGTGACTTATTTGATAGATTGGCTCAAAAGTTGAAATGTTCATCAGAACCAGTCAACATCATACTCGGTGAACAACCACGATTAAAAATTTTATGCATTTTCAAGCAAATCATCAGCAAGATTTTTTTTTTTTTTTTTTTTTTTTTGTTTAAATTTATTTATTTATTTTTTGTGAAAATGGGCATTTTATACCACCTTGGCCAGTTTAGGATGTTAAACAAGAATAGCTGATGTGTACATATTATGCACACACCAACTAACATGATATTAATAAAAGAAATGACAAGTGGAAAAGCTTCAACTTATTTTATTCCCTTGGAAAACTTATCAAGGGAAATGTAGAAGTTTATTTAGAAACCTGTATTTATGCATACAGAGAGAAATAACATGAATGCCTCGGATTATTTCTTTTCAACAATACTTTCTATGAATAAAAAAAAAGGGGCTTTCTAAATAAAATTGTTACGTTTACCTTGATAAAGTTCAAAAAAGAAAACATAGGTTTTTCTCTTGTTGTATATGTCTAGAAAACCGGATGTCAAATGGCAACAATTGAAATAAAAGGGAAAGAGTGAAAAGGTTAAGGAGTGAGTGTAAAGTTTAAAAAAAAACAATGAAAAGGACATGATCATAACATTATACACACATGCGCAAATGGAAACATGCACCATGATGGAAAAACAAAAACAAAATAAAAATGAAGGCATGACGAAAACTTCTGATGCTATTGGGTTAGAAAGACAAATTTTGGAGTTATTGAAGTTTGAAACCAAGTAACAGATATGCCCCTCCCCCCCTTTTTTTCTAATTAGGTCCTTAGATCAAACCAAATTGGAAAATATGATAGTCTTAAGATGGTAATAAGGGTTGGCCACTAATATCCGAGGATGCCTGTCTACTTGGGTAGCGAGCCAATCCCTGTTGCAGATGCCTGCTCAGGCAAATTTCACCTGTGGTTTGTACTGCAACTATGCTGAGCAGATCTTAGTTATGGTTTCTGGGAGAATGCATTAACTGACATGATCAACAGTCTGAACAAAGCCAGTGTACTCAAAATCTGTGTCATGATTTACTTGTGACTTCATGCTAACACAATCATCGACAGCTCCCAAAAAGTTCTGCCTACCCAATTTCACTCACAAGGCTTGGGTCAATCCTGTGGTATGATTTTCAAGCACCTTTCCAAAGGTGCTGCACACTGTGATCACCTTCCTAGACCAATAACATGAAGGTCACCTTCCTGACAGGTCGAACAGCATGACCACATCAGTTACCTTCAATTGTTGATCTGTGTCTTATACTCACTTATTGCTATATAGCCATGAATATTTGAACTTAAAAAAAAAAACTGGATATCATTTGATCTAGTTTAACATGATTGTTTAATATTGTACTTAATTACAATATAATGCTTAAAACTTTTCAGCATAACCAAAATCTTAATAAATAAAGTTTGGTCAGATTTGGGTAAAATTGGTTAAGCTGTGTATACTTATAGCATCTCTTGTATCTATTTGATATCTCACCCCGTAAATTAATGTTTATTTTGTTTGTTTTTTTTTTTTTCGTTTGTTTCTTTTTTTTTTTTTCGTTTGTTTCTTTTCGTTTGTTTCTTTTCGTTTGTTTCTTTTCGTTTGTTTCTTTTCGTTTGTTTCTTTTCGTTTGTTTCTTTTCGTTTGTTTCTTTTCGTTTGTTTCTTTTCGTTTGTTTCTTTTCGTTTGTTTCTTTTCGTTTGTTTCTTTTCGTTTGTTTCTTTTCGTTTGTTTCTTTTCGTTTGTTTCTTTTCGTTTGTTTCTTTTTTTTTCCGTCTGTTTGTTTCTTTTTTTTCCGTTTGTTTGTTTCTTTTTTTTTCCGTTTGTTTGTTTCTTTTTTTTTTCGTTTGTTTGTTTGTTTTTTTTTCTTTCGTTTGTTTGTTTGTTTTTTTTTCTTTCGTTTGTTTGTTTGTTTGTTTGTTTTTTTTCTTTCGTTTGTTTGTTTGTTTGTTTTGTTTTTTTCTTTCGTTTGTTTGTTTGTTTGTTTTTTTCTTTTTGTTTTTTTTTTTTTCGTTCGTTTGTTTGTTTGTTTTTTTTTTTTTCTTTTGTTTGTTTGTTTTTTTTTTTTTTTTCGTTTGTTTGTTTTTTTTTTTTTTTTCGTTTGTTTGTTTTTTTTTTTTTTTTCGTGTTTGTTTGTTTGTTTTTTTTTTTTTTTTTTCTTTTTTTTGTTTTTTTTTTTTTTTTTCTTGTTTGTTTGTTTTTTTTTTTTTTCGTTTGTTTGTTTGTTTTTCGTTTGTTTGTTTGTTTTTTCTCTCTCTTGGTTTTTTTGCTTTTTTGTTATGTAATTTCACCTTTTTTTCTAGGCTTTAATGTGATTTAACCACAGGAGGTTACTGGGGTGTGCTAAAGAAAAGACTTTAGGAGAAGGAACCAGGAACCCAATATTAAGCAAGGAATCTGGGTTAAATCTCTCCTCCTGTTTAAAAGATTGGAACTTCTATTGAATGTATATTTGAATTAGTATAGTTACCTTATTAGACTAATATCGGGGCTAGTTGTTTAATTGAGGATGTATTTTAGATTTCTTGTTACTGGAGAATGAAGAATATTGCAACGAATATGAGCCAGTCAGTTGGTCGGAAAACCCTCACCATATTGGTAGGTGTCTCCTTGAATCTATGCAACCAGTTTCTATGTTTTTATGCTAACAGCTAACCTTGTTAAAATAACTTACTAATTTATGAATTACTAATTAATGAAATTTTTAATTTTGAGTGATTGCTTTCAATTTTTTTTTTTTTTTTTTTAACTCTTCTCATTTTCGCAATAAACTTTTTATGAAAATAAACTATCTTTTTCCTCCAAAGTGAAAATACTTTGGGACAATCTGCCATATGTCCTTTTACTGATATTAGAATTGATTATACATGAAATATGACTGTTGAAAAAGGTTTTAAAATATATTTTATTGTACTTATTAAAATATATATAAATTTTTCTTTTTTTTTTTTTTTTTTTTTGTGGGAGTATTTATTAATGATTTGGAACTGCCCAATTGTGACTTTCCAGTTATGATACAAAGTATAAATTTTCAGCCCATTTCCCACAGACATGGGAAATATTCAGACTAGCTACATTCCTTTTCAGCAAGGACCTGTTGTCATTTACACAGGGTTAAATCCTCCTGATTCCCTTTGTATTCCATAGGTAAGATAGCTTCTTCCAGACAACTGCTACTTAGGTGAAACAAACCTTTGGAAGAGTGCTTCTCTGATCACTACAATCATAACATCTTTAGGTCTAGGGTCATATCTATCTTACATATCCT